TCCAGGGATGGGGCATCCACAACCTCCTTGGGCAACCTGTTCCAGTGTGTCACCACCCTCTGTGTAAAAAAAACTTCCTCCTAGGCTGCATTGATGTAGCTTCTTTCTTTGGCACAGTACTGGTCACAATAACCATAAACTAATTCCTCTGCTTAGCAACACTTTAAGGACTGATACAGAGAGATACCAACATCACAACCACTACACAATATAACACGACTACCCCAGCAGAAAACCCACATCTTGGCTAGGGATCTATAGTAGATCATATCATGTGCAACCATTTGTTACATTCTGGAGGCAAAACCTATGAAGCCTTCAAAAAGTCTTTCACTCTGCCCTTGGAGTTATTCAAAAGCACCCTGGACATGGTCTTGGGCAACTGGTTCTGAGTCACCCCGTTGGAGCAGAGTTGAACAAGACGACAATCAGCAGGTTTTCCAACCCTATCCTTCATAAAAAGCCTGATCAGAAAAGTTACCTTTAAAAAGCTTCAGTGAGAGATCTAAAGAGCCAAAACCTGGCTTAATACGCGATGGAAGGCTCTTCTTATTTTCATACTTGACATCAGCTGAGTGCTTGATTGTGTAAACACATACAAACTTTAATCTGAGGGAAAACATTTTGGATTAGATTTTAGAAATTAAAACCACCTTTGACAATCTCCTTCTAGGGAACAGTACTTACTGGTATACAGGTATATCATTTCCAGGTCTGAAATAGAGTACATCATTTTCATATGTTATAGATGTGCTGTTGAACTGAAACATACATATTGTTACAAACAGGACAGTTACTTCAGAACTGACTATTTTACTCCCCAAACACAATATCCACATCTCTTCACTTGCCTGGCAATCTGGCAGAGTGCTCTGAGCAGGGTGCACTTAAAAATATCAAGAAACTAATGGCCATCAATCTTGTACTCACTAAGCTAAAGCTAGTAACAGCAAAGTCACGATAAAGAAAACCTAATCAACCAACACCTTGAGTGACTTACAAGCCCAGAAATAACTACACAGGGCCTGAGATCAGAGTTCAGTTGATTCTGTTAGCAGAATTTGTACCTAGCATTCACAGAATTAAGTTGCATTAGTTGCACCTGGAATTTTAACATTAGATCTTTTGTTCTTCTCTATTTTCTATTTATGTAAATTAAGTCTTAGTCTAGGCATTCACTAGTGACTACTAATCAGCTTCTACAAGGAAGCTGAGTATATATTGACAACATAAGCTCACATTCAAGTCTGTTACAGTCAACAATATCAAACTAAGTTCTGTTTCAGAAAGCATTTCTGGCTCTAAAAATTGTTTTCTCTAAGAAATTCTACCTGACTGAATTTTGCATTCTCAGAAAAGGAGTGTAGGTATACTGCTTTTCAGAGGTAACTACTTGTCAGCTGCAACCTTCTTGCAGCTTCTGAATCTGCCACTTCTAGTGCTAAACTTATCCGAATAGGAAGTAAACTTAATATTACTAAGCCCTTACCTTTCTACTTGTTCCACATGTATTCACATTGAACTTAAAGGTTGCAGTCTTCTTTGTCACTAGACTGGGTTTGCACTGTTTGTCTCTTAAGACAAGCAGGCTAGTGTCCAGATCTGCAAGCCTTACTAATTTTATTGCAGTAATTACCACAGTGCCATTGGGAAGGCACTCTGAAAGAGAAAAATACATTTTCCAGTACAAATCAGGTTACAGAATAAAGGAGCTGGAAGGCTACACTGAAGTTCTTTATGGACTTGCTAGCAAGGCTTTTGGCAGCTCATGAGAGCAAACATTTGAGCAAGACTTTCATACTAAATTTTAATTTTCTTTACTATCTTTACTGTGTGCAATACATGGAATAATGGTGATTTCACACATTTATTCTTAGAAAGCCTTCTCTCACCAAAAGATTTCTCTAGCCAATATATTTCAGCACAGTCAATCCAGATGAGTATGTTTCTTAATGAAGAGTTTATAAGCTGACCTCCCTCTGGGCCTATCTTCGTAATCATAACAAAAAAACAAACAACAAAAAAGGCCCCAAACAAGCCCAAACCCTTCTGACAAATGTTCTTGCTTTGGAAGTGAGAGAACAAGAAGATTTTGATTCCTTCACAAAATCCAGATCCAACAGGATAGTCTCTCCACAGTGTAATTTCACTTCTCTTTTAGCATATTACTTGGCATAAGATTTGACAGGCAGATAAGGTATCACAAAAGCATAAATACTATAGCCTTTAAAGTTGTGTAGGTTTGTGATTATTTATGCAACGAATAGCATTTAGGAGCTAAGACCCAGCGCGTTAGAGGTAACGTTCTTACGAATTAGCTCCGAAGGTGGAAATCTGCAGGAAATCAAGAAGTCCTTCTTATTAGCCAAGGTGATGCCATCCTTCAAGGTTAAGTGAAGGGAAGCCATTACTCCAGAAATATGAATATCCTAGGGATGATACAGATTAAACAAGAGAATGAAGATCCACTACTTTTCTAGAAATAATACTCAGACAGCAGATTATCACAAGCCAAAGATAACAGTCTTTGACCAAAACCACATCCACAAGAGATATTTTTATCTTAATCCAGAGACAGACACAAAGAGCTTTTCGTTTTTGTTTTACAATACAACTTAAATATCATTGCCTGTACAGTTTCCATTAAAATGTTGTTCAGCCTTTAAGTGGTTGTAAAGTGCTTTTCTTGACTGTAAAGCATTCTTCCAAAGTAGAAAATGCCCTCCATTAATTATTTGAAGCCTATCCCCAATGGATGCTTTATTTTTACCTACAAGGACACAGCGTATCATATAAATATCTCATAGATGATAGAACGTGTATTTTAATTGATGCAGACTAGTAACCTTACCTTATAGTCCACAAGGGAGGAAAGGAAAGGGACAGAGACAGTCAAGTGAGTGCCATTGTCATTCAGGCTATAGTAGTATTTCTGGGCATCCTCCGGCATCAGGTGCTGATCTGAGATGAAGGGCAGCCAGTTTTGATCCACATTCCCACGGGTGATAATGAGATGGAAGTCATCCTCATCACAATATCCCCTTGCACTGGGTAGTACTGTAATACAGTTAAGAGTCAGCCAACGTGCTTGCTACTATCAGAGTTTAAGAGTGCTATTTAGCACTGACAGCATCACTGGCTGAATGTAGCACAGGTAACAGCTGAGTTTAGTCTGGCTAGTTGCAGCCAGGTAAAGACAGTTTTACTCAGGTTCCACTAGCTTACCAGCATCTTTAACAGCAGACACTGTTATGATGGGGACAGCAAACGTGTCATTTGTTGGAAGGATGATGAACTCCAGTGTGACATTGAGTGTGTATTCTCTTGTGTCATCGGTTACGTACTAGGAAAATCATATTTAGAAGAAACACTGAGTGATACAATTTCCACACCATGGTATACTGCAGTGCATACTCTTCGTACACGCCTCTTTCTTAATGCCTGGTGCATCAAATGACGCTTGTATTACATAGATTTTGCTTCCATTAGCATATTGAATCTCATATGTTAAATACCCATGCTGAATAGCTTCAGGTACAGTTACAGTTGTCCCCTCAATGGTCAAGTTCACAAGCTCCACATCCAGGAAAAACATTCCCACTGTAACATTCATTAGCCTTGCACTCAGATTGTAGTCTGAAAATTCAGAAACCAATGTTATTCTCTTATCAGTACCAAAACTTTCAGTAAACAGTACTAAGCTACTTACTGTCAGTTATAGCAAGTTCTGCTTGTTCAAACGGTGTTTCTATTTCCTTGATGAGGGTATACTTGCTTAGTCCCCATTTGTTATCCTCCCACTGGTGTTCCAAAAACAGGTTGATGGAGTATTTCGCCCCATGCTTTCCACTGCTCACAGAAGTCTGCAATTTCATAATCAACACCCTTCAGTAGAATATGACTCTACATTACAATCAAAGTCGTACCATAGCATTACAGAATCTGCTAGAACTATAGCTCCAAATAATTGCCCTCCTCTACTCTGTGAGACCACTAAGAGAAATTTGGAAAAAAAAACGAATCAACACCTGTGAGGAGTGAACTCTTCTGTGGTGCTTCCTGTATCACGATTATGGACAGTAGCTCCCTAATGTCTGGATTCTCAGGATACTCAAGAGACTACCTTCTGAAGTCATCTCCCAGCTGTTACTTCCAAAGAAGCAGGGATCTGTTTAATCAGGGAAATGGCTCCTCCTTCAACTTCTCTAAAGATCAGTTGTTATAGCATTTGCCCAGGACTCAGTTCACTTCAAGTAACTACTAGATTTAGAGCTACAGACTCAAGGTATCCCAATACCATGTGATCTTGTAAACAAATCACATGCTCTCATTCTCTTCAGTGTGTTTTTTTTTTTTGTAAAATATGATAAGATGCACATGTTTTATAGCTTTGGAATGTGACATCAGGACTGCAAAGCCAAAGTTTATGTTAACATGAGGTAAGAGAGAAATCAATATTTCTTTATAGAATTGTGTCCACCTTTGCTTGTTAGTAAGAGTCTCCACAATGCAATGCATACAAGAGCTATTTGTACCTTTGATTTCCCCTTTTTTCCCTCCCTTCCTTACTTCTTCCTTATCACTTGGAAGGAACAGAATGAAGAATTATTCCTGCCCAGGAAAACAAGATACATCACTATTCTATCACTATTTGACACTATATATCACCATCCTATGATCACCACAGAAAATAAGAACCCTTAAAAAAAGACCAAACTATGAAAAAAACCCACAAAACCACTCAAAGGAAAATCTACTTTGCCTGCCATCCAACAGTACTAACCTTGTAAGAGCCACCTTCTGCACCTATAGGTACCTTCACTGTAATTGTATTTAAGTCATTAGATAACACATATTTCCTGGAGGCCATTTCTTCAGCAGAGAGTTTGTGTAGATTCACACCGGCTTCAACAAGCACATCCTTAAAGCCAGTTGCTCCAGCACAGAGTGCTTGAAAATATTTTGGAACAGTCCAGATGATTGTTTTGTTAATGTAGTTCACACCATCTTAGGGACAAGATAAGAAAGCTGTCAGCTCATCACTCTAGTCACAAGCCAGACTCTGTATATTTAAGCAGTGGGGTAAGGTACCATGTTTCTCACCTACAGGACACGCCATAGCAGTATCCACCATCAGGATCATCCACTGCTGTTTGTAAAATGTACTTGATCTCACTGCAGAAAAGGTAATTCCCTGAGCCTGCAGAAAGAGATCTCATTAGACCTGTACAGTCTGACAGCTTCCTGGGTTGGAGGCAGTGTACCAACCTTGACCAGCTGAATTTGTGCAGTGTTATATGGCACTCGCAGCAGAATTCTAGTTTCTGTGGTGTTGAGTCCATAGCCAGCCTTCCACGCATCACTTACAAGCAGAGCTCTTTTTTCTTCTGGTTGATGAAACACTATCTGCCATATTGAGGCTTCCTCTGCTTTTGCCTACCCAGAGAAATTCATTAACAGTTTGAACAAGCTCTTTAAAGTGAGTTATTTACTACATTGGATGATTTATTGTATTCAGCAGCCCAGCAGATCCTGCTGCCTTATGCTAAGTGCTGGGCATGTGATAGCCCTCAAGCTTTGCCTTGCTCAGCCTCTTACACAAAGAAAGCTTTCTGTATTAGGAGTAACAAACAGATTCAGAACAGGGAAAAAAACAAAAACAAACACCAGACATCCTTTCTGGTTTGAAGACAGATGATGGGGCAGGATATTGGCAGCATTGCTGCACTGAAATTATAGGTCTAAAAAGAAAAAAGCCTATCTGCATCTCATTCCTGGGCCATGAAGTCTTAGAGATTTTGTTGCACACCCTCGTCAGAGAAAATATGACTTTTAAGCTGAGAAACTTGCCTCCATTTCTTCCTTGGAGATTAGAAATATAGAAAGCTGCAAGCCTAATGTGGAATACCTCTTTCCTAAAAACCAATTGGTAAAGGAGCTCTTCCTACTGAAGTGTTCCTTTGAAAAGGACAATTTCTACTGTGTGGACATTGAACAATGATAATGTTAGAAGTAGCACTAGCTTTTACTAGTAAGAAAAAACCTGCTTTTTACCTTTGGATAAGAAAGAATCCAATCCTCAGGTTCATTCAAAATGATATTCTTCTCAGTTTGGGGAACATCTCTCCAGACAGAAACCTGAATAGAAAAAGGCACTCTAAGTATTGGTGGCACTTTTTTCCTTGTCTCTTGATTTCAGCTTATTATCTAGTTTTAGTGTTTTCACTTCTATTCAAAGCCGGGAAATTATTTTGGAGAGGACAAAAGGAGTCAAGAGAGTTCTTCTCTCCAGAGTTCTCCCCAGAAAACTTAATAGGTATACTTTCTGAAGGAAATTTCCATTTCAGTTATTTCAAAATGTGTTGAGACAATATCCAGCAACTTCAACCTATTAGCTTAACCTCTTGAATACTGTTTCACACCTTTTTTGGCTATTAACACCATTCAGTAGTCTATATAGACATAACATAAATGCATCACTAAGCTCAAGGTGTAAGCTATGGTTTCACCAGTTAACCTTTCATAGTGAGACACACTCTGTTTCTGGTACTCTTTCCTATCATTTGATCTGCTTCCAAATGCAGCATCTTCTAATATTCACCTTCTCACCTCAAGGTATTTTACCATAAGACACCTCCAGTGCTTACCTCCATGTAGTTGGTTTCACATACTAACTCTCTTGGACTCCATGGGCCATAAGGGCAACTTGCACTTTTCAGATGAGTTGTAGCATTTTTCATATCAGAAGTATGGGACACTTTGATTTGTATAGTTAACGTGAACACATCTTTCTGCATGGACACAGGAAACACATGTTAAACTGATTTTTCCAAGCAGGATATTAGCTCTTCTTGTGACCTAACTCAGGAAATGCACCCATCAGCCTTTCCACAGAAGAGCAACTCCACTGCTGAGATATTGTTTTCTACTTGGTTAACCATATACCTTGTACACATGAAGGTGTATAACTACATAGCCACACAAATACAATGGGGAGGAGCTTCAGTCTTTCATATAGCTCCAGAGTTTGACAGGAGAAAACACATCCCAAGATGTACCCGATTTTTTTTTTTCCCCCCTGCATAGCATCAGTGGGCATGGAGCACATGTAGAGAAACTTTTGAGATTAACCATTACACCATGTCAAGCAGAGTAGAACAACAGTCAGATGGAATTCCCTGTTTTTATCCAGGCAAAGGCAGGTGTCCTTCATAGGCATGTGATGTGCTTCTTCCTATACTCATCTGTGCTATTACGTAGTACATTTGGACATCAATACCAAGGATTATTTTCAGACCTCTGGACACATTTGAGTGGAATTAAATAATTTTCTGTTAGACGACGTCCAACACATTACAACCCCTTAATAAATGCCTACTAATAATTTCTTCATCTTCCACCTAGAGGTTATACTCATCGTCTGCATCTTGATTTGACTTACCTCCAAGCGAGAATGACAACTTAGCGCAGAAGCACGAAATACAATGCTATTCCTGCTGCTGTAAGTTATTGTGTAGCCACACTGAGATGCCAGGGCCTCGTCTAGCTCCCAGGTTATACCAGATCGGTCTATGAGCAATTAGTTGAGATCAGCATTAATTAGTATAACCCCTTCTGTGTAGGCTCTTAGAAACATACCCTTGCCCCTAGGGTTCAGCTGTCTTAGATCATCTGTGGGCTGACTACATACTGTGTGGTAGGAGCTAAGAGAGAATTGCAGATAAAATTCTGCAAGGAAGTATACAGAAAGGGAAGTAGGGTAAGATTACAAACAGACTAGGGCAGGAAACATTAGTAGGTGAAGGGCCAAAGATAATAAATGACCAACATGGCAGGATGTGAAATCCTAAAGGGAGAGAAAGCCTGGGTAAATTCAGAACAGACAGATCAGTGTCAGAGTTGTCATGGTAGACTGACAATGATAGTTTGCAGTATCAGGGTGCTGTTCCAGGGCTGGAACAGCTCCATGTTTCTCTCTAATACCTGCTTGGCCAATGGAGATTCTTCAGGAATCTTAACTAGGACAACAAACACACTAATGCTTAGATCAAATCTCTACAGAACTATCAAGTAATTATTTTTGGCTAAAAATATGATATTTTCAAGCTGTACATACCTCAAATGCAGAGTCTGTTTACATATGGGTGAAGATGCTTAAGCACAGAAACATGCAGTAAGGAAGATTCGACATACGTGTAATGTTCTTGAAAAATGGATGCTGTGTAATTGACTGCACCTAGTCAGACAACTAGCTAGCACTGAAAGCTAGTTAATCGGGTGAAAGATTACACAAACTTCGTCTTAATGTCTATTGTTCTCAAGTTATCTCACTGGCATTTCTCACTTGAAAGTATTTGTTGATTACTAAGCATGTAGTCAGAGAAGGCCCAGCTAATTTTCCTGCTTCATTAAGAATTTACACTCATCTAACAGGTCTGTGAGTTGTAAGCAGGAAAGTGGGTGACCATCAACAAAACCAGTAACATAGTACCAGCTAAGGCTACTGCATTTTGAGAATAGGATATGTGGTGACTAGAGGAAATTTGTGTACCAGAAACAATATTCATCGGCATCAACATGCCAACAGCTACTATATTTTCCTACAGAGTGCATTTCAATTTCAGTCCAATGGCAGTCATGATTAGATTTGATACTAAGCTATAACTTAACAAGGCTATAATTTACACAAAAATAAAGGTAGCTTTAAAAACAACAAGAAATAACCTACTTCCACAACTCTATTAGCTTAACATGATCCTGCAAATTCTAGTGTAGGAAGAACTCAAATGATTTTAAAGACTTCACCATTTACAATTCCCCCCTCTAATTTCTTCTGTGTCAACTTACCAACAACAGAAAAAGATAAATATTTATCCTTAAAGTGTTCCATACTCAGGGTTAAATGCAAGAAGTTCTTCAAGCATTCTGAACTCACAAGTCCTGTATTGAAGGCATTGAAAGACAGAAATACAGAATTAAAGATAAGAAATAGAAACCCTCTACTTCCCACACAGCTTTGTATCAGAAATTATCTCTCTGTATCTTCTAACAAGAGATATTAGATTTAAAAACAGAACACAAAAACAAACAAAGACAAACAAAGTCAATGAAGAAATCACCAACCAGTATTCCCAACACAACCATGAACATGCATTCCAGTAGTAATTGTAACTGGTGTGCTGGCGCTCCTACTTTGAGCAGCCAGTGATGGAAACAGGATTCTGCAATAGGGTCAAGAGAGCAAAGCTTGCTGCCCTAAACTAAACTTTTAAACTGGAATAGAATAAAACAAGAAAGACAAGAAAGTCTCCAACCTATTAAAAGGAAAATGAAAAATGGTAATAGAAATTTTTAGGTAAATGCTGCTCACAGCAGTGTTACCTGATGCCACTTGGGTCCACGTTGTAGAGATAAGTATTCCTATTAATAATAACCTGCATGAAAAAATAAGGATTAGCAGAATCTACAAGTTTCTGTGGTCAGAAACTTAAGCCTAGATGTTAGAATTACAAGTCTAGATACTGCAAAATAAGATTGCCTTAGTTACCACTGGAAAGTTAGGTGTAGTGAAGAAGAAACTCACAACGCTGATGCCTTGAGGAAAACAGTTAACATTTAACTACCATGAAATTCTCACCTCAGCACCAGACCCAACTCCATCATGCACTTGCTTTGCCTCAGTAGTTTTTCTTCTAACAGTCACAAGAAAACACAAATTTCTACCATCAATTTTCCATAAAACTAAAATATTCTCATCTCCACCATCTTAAGAGGAAAGGCTGCTCTCTTTACAGTGGTAAAAACCATCTTCAGCTGTTTGTCCTCCTAATTATAAACTCATGTCACCTGCTGTTTTGTTTTATTGATTAAATCCATTCCTATCTAGGTTCCTTTGGCTGCAGGTTTCTGTGTGGAGGAGGCAGTAGCGTAAGCAGTGCTATTCTGATAAAATATGACAATTTATTTTTTCTGAGTTGCTTTAGTTTCACTTTGTCTCCCCTGTGGAGAAGCTTTGATGGCCTTTGCTGGAGAATTGGAATTACCTCTGGATAGATGTGTATAGTGTAAGGGCAGTAGATGTAATAAAGAAAGAAAGGACTCTTGACTGTTGAAGTCATTGGCTGCAACTAGTATTGTAGGTAGCATATAGCAAAATCTGATGGACATCTCAAACCAAAACATAGAATGGTTTGGACCTGACAATCATCTATTTTCAACTGTTCTGCAGTGGGCAAGGGATACCTCCCCCTGGATTTTGTTAGTCAAAGCCCTACCCAATCTGGCCTTGAACATCTCCAGGGATGGGGCATCCACAGTTTCTCTGAGCAGCCTGTGCCAGGGCCTTGTTGACCTTAGAAGTAAAGAATTTCTTCTGAACTATCAGACTTGGTGACCTGTAGAACTCTTAAATCAGAAATAATTCCTATTAGTCATGGTCAGCCAGTTTTGGGAAAAAATTCCCCAAAACTGTGGAAGAGTGGGCCTGACTGCAAGCAGATCAGAAATGAGGACCCTGGATTTGCGGCTTGCTGAAAGCAGAGAAGTTAAGCCTATGGCCTTGGGTCCAGATGGCTGTGTGGGTGCACCATCACCAGTGTGGGTGCATTCAGGTCACTGTGGCTGATGCAAGGATTTGTGACACCTCGGGGACTGATGAGCTGAGATGCTGGTGGCCAGAATGTAGCCAGCTTGTGTGTTACTACTGCAATATTAATAGCATAAAGGATAATAAATCCATCACTGCTTGATTACTGCATGTAACTGAGTGCAGTAATTTAGCATTCCTTGTCTTCAAGGGCAGCCATCATTTAGTCCAGTGGTCAGTCACTCTGTGCAAAACAGTCCTAACTGTTACAGTCAGAGTTCCCCTGTGGCATTTCTCATTTCTCCCCTTTTGTGGTCAAAATTTTGCTTTGATTTCCCTACTTCTTTGGGTGCTATTTCCCTATTTTCTTTCTGTACTTTCAAATAACTTTACTGGGAATAAAGAACATTGACTGTGTAACGCTCTTTGAGAGGTGAGATGTGCAAAAAAACCTCTCTCTATTATGTATTTTATACTGGCGATCCTTTTGTCTTAGGTTTATGCTGTGACAGTTCGGTTTTGCTCCTTCATCCGCGCACGTGAAGGCAGAGGGCAGAGCTGCAGGGCTTGTAATTAACGACAGCGTCCTGGAGAGGGAGCCTGAGACCCTCCTATGGGGATGCTCTGCACCGCTCCGTTGGGCGGCTGCACCTCCTTCAACTTTTACTCAGCGTTTGTTCTTAAAACGAATAACTATTGATCAAGGTCGTTTTAGACAAATGGATGCATTTATTCTGAAGCTAAATGTTGCAGCTATCCTTACTGCACCACTTCAAAAGTATTAAAAAGATAATAAAATCAAATGTAAAAACAAAGTTTAGCTTGCTCTGAGATACTCAATTTTACCTCAGGGAAAAAAAAAAAAAAAAAAAAAAAAAAAAAAAAGCTTACTCCCACCTGGCTTGTATTCCTGTTATTTCCCTTTGAAATTTCCTACTCTGATGAATTTTTAACTTTACAAGGAGTTTTTCTGAGAGCCGTCACTATTTATATAGAATCCACTAATTAATGTATTAAAAGATAAAACCATGATTGTGCAGTCAGGACTTAAGCACTGCATTGCAAATTGTGTTTGTTATTGATTGACTAGTTAATGTTTTAATTAAGCCTTTTTTCTCAGTGCGGTCAATATTTAAAATATTACAAAAATGTTAATATATTTTTCCAAAACTTGATTTAAGCACCACTGGGGATGTGCCTGAGATTTCCTCCAGCTTGCCTGAAGTCTATCTGACATTTAAGCAGATCTGCACTGTTGATATACCCATTACATCAGTTCTATACTAGATGTCCAAGCTGTTTCTGCTTTTCTACCCTAAACTCCATCTGGGTTTCCATGAATCCTTCCACTTGCCAACACACACACACAAGGCAGGATCCTGGTGACACCTCATTCAATTTTTGCAGTTTTAATGGAGTCATAGAATAATACAATCGTTATGGTTGGAAAAGACCTCTGAGATCATCTAGTCCAACCCAACCCATCCCCACCATGGCCGCAAATCACATCCCTCAGTGCCACATCCACACGGTTCTTGAACACCTCTAGGGCTGGTGACTCCACCACTTCCCTGGGCAGTCTGTGCCAATGCCCCACCACTCTTTCTGAGAATAATTTTTTTTCCTAAAAAAATTTAGGAAATTTAGGGTCATGGAGACTCATAACCACATACCGGAGTGGAAGGAGAATTACAGTAGTCCTGCTACACCTCAGGTTTATCCCAGAAATACTGAAAGCATTACCTATCTAGACTACTTGCACAGTTTCTGTCTGATTGTTCCATTCTTTTTTTTCTCTGGTTTTACCATTCAATTGTAGATTAATTCCCAGTGACAGTTACTTCTCTGTTTATTTATTTTAAATTTCTTTTGTTATGTAGCACTCCTGTCTTAATTTGTAATTGTGACTCTGGGCAATAAAGCAGTACGTTTAAATCCAAGACTATTTATACCCAGTCAAACCTAAATTGTCAGCTGACTTAATTAAAAAAGGAAGACATTTTGTCTGTCACAATTTTTATTTCTAACAATTTGAAATCAAGAAGACTTTACTCAAACTCTATGGCCAAAATCTTCAAGAATGACAAAGTTTTCCTTCTGGCACTTTCATTAGTATCAGGGTAAGAACAGGAAGAGTTATTTCCTGGGATAACTACTGTGTAAATAAGTGCATTTAATTTTCCAGTATCAGCATGGCTTAGTGTTACCAGCATCCTGCCTGGTAACTGGTAGTTCTCCCACAGCAAGCAGTATCTGAGCTGTAGGGTGAGTTCATATCGTGTCAAGACACTTGTGTTAAGAAGGTCTTAATGACTGTCTGTCTGTTCAGTTTAGTAGGGCTATATGCTAACTGTTCTTTGAAAGCTATTTTGTCTTCTCATTTTGAAGGCAAAAATGCATGATAAATAAAATCCAACTAAAAGCACTTCTCAGATATTAGTTAATTCATTGTTGATAGGAATAATAAAACCAAGATTTTGCAGTCTCACCCACGTAAAATGTCCATCAGGAAATTTATTGCTCATTTTCTTTGCAGGATTACACTGTAAAATAATATTTATTCAATGTAGTACCCTATCTGTCTGGCCCTATATCCTCATCCCACCATGAATATGTTCCTAGACAGTGTGTTTAAGTGCTAGGCTAATTCAAATATTTTCCATGTAAAAATAGCTAAATAAATAAATATATGGGGAGATAGAAAGTACACATTTCATCTGTTAGCACTAACTGCAAGAACAGACACATTAGATAGAATGAGGCCATTAACCAGAACTTAGCAACTTAGCCTGGGCTGTCTCTGCTGCAAGATATTCCTCCTCTGGGAATATGAATGATGTCCTAAATCATCACTGACTTGATTTTCTGCTAGGCACAGTCCTGCTCTGGAAGTACAGTACAGTTCAGATCCCCAGAGAGCTAGAAGCCATCTGTCTTAGAGCTATGGGCAGCTTTCGTGGGTCTCCTGCCTGTAGAGGGCAGTACTTATGGCTGTCAGTTTAGTTGACAACTCACAGATTAAACAAGGGACTGGCAGGTTTAAAAGAAGAAATGCTCCTAATTAAAGTTTTATAAGTCATGCTATGGTAGTCCTTTATTCTCTGAATAGGGTACAGGAAGGAGATTTGAAACAAGCCTCCCTCCAGGAGTGTCAACCATGACCTTGTGGAGAACATAGTGTTTTGCACACACAGCACTTACAGTGCTAGGAGCTAGGCATCAAAGAACTCATATCTGGGACCTATGTCCTGGAGAATCCAGTGAAAGAAGGTCTTCAGTGAGCAAAGGTTCTTAGAAAAAAGATTAGACTACCACTTCAGTTATAGTTTATCATAGAATCATAGAATGCTTTGGGTTGGAAGGAACATTTAAGCTCCCCCAGTTCCACCCCCCTGCTATAGGCAGAGACACCTCCCTCTCCACCAGGTTGCTCACAGTCCCATTCAACCTGGCCTTGAATGCTTCCAGGGAAGGGGCATCCACAGCCTCTCTGGTCAGCCTGTTGCAGTGTCTCAACCTACCCTCAGTAGGGTACTACTTAGCAGTAGTCTAAACCTACCCTTTTCCTGTTTAAAGCCATGCTTCCACCTCTTCTTCTTCCTGCTGTGCTTTCTGAGTGTCATGTCCTGCAGTGTGGTGGCTCAAGGGCAGTACATGTCTTCCTCTGAACCAGGACCATAACCCATGCAGTTAGGGGGTGAGATTTCCTATAATTGAGAATATCATTTCGACTGTTTGGCTGCATCAAATCAGCTCAATAGAAATGAATTAAGACAAACAGATACACCAGGAAGTAATCTGGTCCTTAAAGTCCAGTTAAAATTTGAGGATAGGAATTTATGTGCAGTGGAGAACAGTCTGTGGAAGTATCTGGAACCAAATGCAAAGCAATTTAGATTACTGTGATAGTACAAAAGCGCTTTGAGTAGACAATTTAAGACATCTGTCCATAGTCCAGACATCTGTGTGCAATGAATACTGCTTTCAAGCAAGCTCTTTATTTATCATTTCGTGATGTCCATTAATAATTGCTGCCCCTGTACAACCCTTTCTTTGTCTATACGTAGTTATATGTGGTTACTTGACATCACTAATAAACAAGGAAAGAATTACTTGTTCTTAAATTGAAAATGCAATCTGTGACTTAGTTCTATTTCAAATATAGACAACAGATTTTATTCTTCCCTCCCATTGTTCC